TTTAATTTAGTTCATATGTATCATTAAATTTTTGTTTGAAAAATTAAAATAAAATAAAACAAGAACTATAAAAGTTGAATGGAAGTAGTAATATATAGGTTTTGGCGGACCGCTAGTAAATCACAGCAGTTGAGATTCCTTAATAATCAATTTTACATTCAAATTATCCATAAAATGTTGGATATTAAAGGCCGGGGATGAGAGTAGGGATTTCTTGACATGAGGTTCAGAAAAACCAGTTAATTTATGGATATGCCACCAACCTGGCAACCAAAAGTAAAGGTATAAAAGTGGCAAGGCCAGCTTTAAAGTTTAAAATTTTGCATCTGATGCTAAAGCATACATATTCACCATTAATTAAGTTTCTTGGGAATCCCCTTTTTCTGTTTGGCTTTGTTATTTCAAATATTGGGGGAACAAAAGATACCTAGATAAATTAAACTAAAGCATATCTCATGTGATGATCATGGGTTTGGAATTGTTTTTTTTTTGTTTGGGTCACAGAGCCCGCCATATCCAAAGCAGAATGGTTTTCTCCTTTTTGCAACTTTTCAAAAATGAAGAACGATATTATAGACTCTGACTAAACTTTTCTTGTTGACCAAACATCAAGGTATTCAAATTCAAATTTTCTTGTGTCAAGCAGCACATGGTAGTAGCACCAAGATCTAAGTTACTTGGTTAGGAAGGAATGAGTTTTGTAAGAATAGGAAGGAATGAGTTTTGTAAGAATGACAAAGAGGCGCACGTTTTTTGAATTCAATGCATGCAAATGCAATGGTAGCTTTATCGCCGTCTCTAGAATACTAATAAATGGTAGCTTTTTAATTCCCTTTATGTATATTCCTCCAAATTCTTCTTCCCTTCCCTTGGTGGTAACAATGACAATTAATATATAAACATTAATTCTCGGGATATACCAATTTTTTTAATATAAAATAGTCTAACTTCAATGCTTCTATAATTAATTTAAACTTTGAAAATATGTTTTATTTTAGGAAAAGAAATGAGAAAGGAGGACAACCCATTTCAAGCAATTAAATTAAATTAGTGTAACATTTTATTTTGATTGTACGAAATAGATTTTTTTTTTTCTCTCTCTCCAATGTTTATTTTTCTGGAACCAAACACATCTTAAAGGATCGTGTGCGGCATCACTGCTTGCGCAATTGTGTTTGGATAGCCAGAGGCCCAGAGATTAAATTTTAAAATATGCTCAGCCCATTGTTAACTGGGTCAAGGTTTACTTGTGACCCAGGAACAGCGGTTAAGCCCATTTTTCTGCATCATATATTGAAGCAAAGGCTCGGCCCAAAGAACATGATAAAGAACCTTGACAAAAGTGTTTTACTTTTACTCGGCACTCGGGAGTCCAAATACAGGCATTCGGCCCATATCTTGTTTGGACTTTACGCGATTATCTAATCGTCTTGTCTTCAGTTTCACGCTGGGCATTTTGCCTGCTCTTTTCATTTTTTAATCTGTTTGGTTGCCGAGAAACGGCGGGAAAGTAAAAGGAAAATTTGGTTCTGTGTGGCTATTGGAGACCGAAATTAGAAAGAAACCATCAAAAAGGAAAAAAACAAAAAAAAGGCTCTATTTTTCCATTCCTTCTTTCCTGTCCTGATCACATGAACTGTCTTCACAATCTTCCAGGGTCCATTTGCTTCAAATTTGATTATGTGCTCTCTCTGTTTTTTTAACTTATTTTTTTCTGAATATGTTCTTAACTTTTTGACGTTTCAAATCCCATGGGGTGCCTTTTCAAGGCATCAAATTCGACCCAAGAAAGCCCCCTCCATCTTCCCTAACCATACTGGTAATCCCCATCTCTCCTTGTAGCTTTGGGTCCAATTTGATTTCTGAAAGTAACTAACTTTGACTAACCACTTTATGCCCATTAATGCATTATTTGAAAAAGATAAAACAATATTAATTACTTTAATTTGCTTTTAGTTTTGCACTGGGGCAGCTGTCTCCAATGTAGATTGCTCCCCACTGTCACTGAGGTTTTCTTGTATTTATGCACAGTTTTGGTTGAATTATCTCAGGGACTGGTGAATTGCAGTGATCAACGGCGAACTCTGGCAATGAAGGTAGCTTTAAGCATCTCCTAATTTAGAATCATTTTCAGTTCTCCATATACTTCTAATGGTGTGGATCCTGTGTGGTTTGTATGATTTCATTTGAAATTGCAGAAGATTATTCATTATTGATGCTCTTTTTTTTCTTTTTTTTTTAATGTTATTTTTATACTCTTGATAGGCAATTTCTGGTTCAACATTATCAAGTGTGGAGGAGTGCTCCGAATTTGAGGGGAAGAAATCAGAGATTTATGGTCATAACATGACAGAAGCTATGGGTGCATGTAAGCTAAATTATGTGGTTTAATTTACTTTAGATTGTTTTAATACTTTCTAGATCAGAGATGTTGTTGTTTACATGGATTTAGTAAAATAATAAGCTAAAGAGTGCTGAAATTGGAATTTAAATTTTTTAGTATGATGCCTGAAGGCGAATTCAGGTTGTTATGGATTTTCATGGTGGCCTTTATGTATATGGTGGTTTAACCTCAGCTTTATATATTAATATGTTCATTTTACCGTCAGCTTATATGATGGCATTTATGCTGCCTTCTTGGTTTAGTTTTGGCTAATAATTTGTTTGTCGCATTTGAGACAGTGTTGACTTATAAGCATGAACTGGGAATGAACTATAACTTCATTTCTTCAGACCTGATCGTGGGGTCTTGCCTCCAGGTGATTCTCATTTCTAGAATTGTACAAAATGAAAAATTATAAATTTCTATAAAATTATTATATGATTTGATTTCTGCTCTTTTTTTCCCTTCAAATTGATAGACTCCTCAGGATCCTCAGGATGTTGACAAGCTTGGTGAAATTGGAGTGAACACAATATTTTGCTTGCTGCAAGATGCAGATTTGGAGTATCCTCAATAATTATAATTTAGTTCTATCTAAATTATGATTTGGAAAAAAAATAAGGATCTGTTTTTAACCCTTAGTTATTATTGCATGTGCCAGTATTTGTTACTTGAGCAATAACTGACATTGTTTATGCAAGCGAACAAAAATGTTCTGTAATTCCTTTACTACTATCACCAGATATTTTGGAGTTGATATCAGTGCTATTCGAGATTATGTCAAGGCATGTGGTGATGTTGAACACTTGCATGCTGAGATAAGGTTAGTCATAACAAAAGGGTGATTCCTATATTATCATCAGTTTATGTATGAAAGCTAGGTTTTATACTAGTGTGAAGTGAAATAAAGAAATTCGTCCTAGTTCTCATCTTTGTTATTTGGGTAGTTTTTGTCATTAATTTAGTATTACAGTGGTAATATTGATGTAGCAGGGATTCTGATTCATTTGATTTACGGATGCGGCTTCCAGCTGTGGTTAGTAAATTACACAAGGCCATAAATCAGAATGGGGTGTGACCTATGTACATTGCACTGCTGGACTTGGAAGGGCTCCTGCTGCTGCGGTATGCTTGTCAATTTTGATTTTGAAAAATGTCATGTTACCATTGAGCTTTTTAGTCCATTTTTCATAGGTCCTGTTATGAATTACAGATGGCATACATGTTTCGGGTTCAGGGCTATAAACTCATGGATGCTCACAGATTGTTGCTGGTAACTCTTCACCCTGTTAGTTTGTATATTCTGAGTTTGATTCCTGTTTAGGTAAGAATCCAGATAGACCAAAAAAATGACAATAATCTGGATAATTTGACAGGCTTTGGCTGTTGAGATTCACCAAAAGAAGTTTTTAGAAGTTCTTTTAAAAAATTATAGCTTATTATTGAGATGGTGTCAGAAACAGGCTTCATTGTAATTGATCTTTGTATCCATTCTGATATAACTTATTGTTTCTTCTGTTTCAGAGCAAACGCACATGCTCCCCCAAATTGGATGCCATAAAACCGCTGATATTGTGAGTCATTTCCATAGATATGATACTTTAGATGTTATAAACTAATAATTGTTGAAGCCCCACAAATATTTTCCCCTTTCAGCACACTAGAACTTTCTGTTTGCTATTTGAATTATGATTCTTGGTACTACAGTTAAATTAATGCTGCTAGGTTGCCTTGACATTTTCAAATTTATGCAATTCTGTAACATGAACACAGTATTTAGTCTCTGAAATATGTAGACAGCATTAACATATATTCCGAACTTCTTTACACAGTTATACATCCTTGTATTCTGTTTGTATATCCCAGTTCTGCATGTTCTAACTTGTCATTTGTAAAAAATCATTCCTGGTTTTCCTCTTCTTAGCTTGAATGAAATTCATATATTTTTCTATTATTCCTTTTTGACTTTTTTTCTTTTTTGCTTTGTATAACTAACAGTAGCCTTGTGAAGTGGCAAACATATGGGGAGGTTGAAATTGAGAGGGGTTGAAACTGATGTCATTCTCTAATTATAAATAAACAAATGGGAGAGAATGTGTAATTGAAAAATGTGCTCCTCTATTGTTTGTTATACAAAATCACATGCAGTATTTTCTAATCCTTGAGCTTCAGGTAGCAACGCCTTCTATACTCAAAAACTTCATTTGCAGAAGTAAAAACCAAAAAAGTTATTGCAATCTTATTTGTCTTATTTTTCTCAATTTTAAAGCTCACAGGCTTCAAGAAGAAACTTGTTTCTTTTATATGGGAAGGTAAAAATTGCTCTTCTGTGGAAATGGCCAGACTTGATATTGGATGGGGCCAAGTAATTGTCTTATACATATTATTAGCACATTAAGATACAAGAAACTTCTTTTGCAAGAAAAAATGTCAGTTCTTTATTTCTTAGTCTTCTTATCATTCTAATCCCCTTCCCCCCCTTTCCCAACCCCAACAGAGAATAACTTTAACTTTTAACAACGAACAGGGACTGTAGATTCTCAGGAGAGAACTGCCAGTAAGTGTATTTTGTTTGCCTTAATACAAAGATACAAGTCCTAACCTTAGAAGGTTATCTCTTGTTTGTCTTAATAGATTCATTCGGAATGGAATTTTGAATTTTCCCATGACCAGATAGATTTCTATCTGGGAAGTTATTTCTAATTGAAAAGCTGCCCTGAAAATGGAACTCATGACATGTTCGGTTTCTTGAATAGGAAGGACGTTATGAGTACAAATACATTGTTGATGGAGAGTGGCTTTGCAATCAAAATGAGCGGGTAGCTGCGCCTGACAATGATGGACATGTCAACACTTATGTCGAAGTAAGTTTCTGCTATCTTGCCATGACTGGTGGGACTCAGTTACGTATTATAGTCCAATGACTCTAGACATGTTAATTTTGAATCTAGTTTCATCGGACATTACTGGTTTATCCTCCTTCAACTGTTATGAACTTAGGAGTTACGACCAAAACATTACGGGTTTCATGTATTAGTTCATTGCTCGAGAATGCCAAAAATTATGGAAAGTCATATAAATTCTCGTCTTCTCTCTTTACACTACAGGTTGTTGACAATGATCCAAGCAGTGTGAGTACAGTGATTCGTAAGAGGTTAACTGATGAAGATCCCGGTCTTAGCGTGGAAGAACAGCTGAAAGTCAAAGAGTTCCTTGAAACCTATCCTGATTGTTAAGACGGAACTAACTGAATGGGCAAGAGTACAAGGCATCTTGTAGTATCATCATATAAATGTCAAAATTCCTATGCAATAAAAGAATGTATCATATAGAGAATGATCTCATGGCTTAATGGTTACTAACTCCTTTACAAGACTTTCTCATGCTAATTTAAGGTGTGAGGTTTGAGTCTCATCTCTAATGTTCAAAAAAATAAATCATATAAACATTATCAGATTGTCTTAGATTGCTTGACAATAAGTTCCAATAAAGTTCTTTTTTTTTTGGTGTTTTTGACATGCACCCACACATCAGCCTTTAAGATCAAAATTTAAATTTAATTTATAGGTTGAATATTTACTTACTATTACTTAATCCAATTCTTAAAATTATAAAGTGTATGGTTTTTTGTTCCTCATAAACTTTCACCTCCATGATAGTTGTGTTTCAAAGTTCCAGTAAGATTGTTAAAAAGTTTGCACAAATTATTAAATCAAAAATTTATATTAATAATTATAAATTCTTTAAAAATAAATAAAAATGATATAATTTAAAACTTTTAAGAATGTATTTTCAAGAAGTTACGAATACATAACTTTAAGTTTTTAACACTTTAGAATTTATTTTTTTTATAAGGGCAATGGTTAATAGGTTAATTTTGTTAGATACTAGTAATTAGGGATTTGATCTCCAAATCTGATGAATATTTCACCTTTCTCAATGAGGCGCGTGGCCCATCAAACCGCTTGGTGGAGTTCAACACTTTAGAATTTGAAAAATACCTTTTGTAAATATTATTTTACATGAAATACAAGCTTATAATATAAATTG